GCCGCCGCCGCCTTCCACGACGCTGGTTGCTCTGCGAACAAGATCCGGGAGGAAACAGTGGGCATGCAAGTGCCGTGGGGGCACCGCCGAGGTTGCGCTATAGAGGCTCGCGGGAGTCCCGAGGGCGGCTCAAGTCAGAGTTGTTGGGCTTCGCTCAGGCTGTTGGGGGAAGACCCAGCCTGTGGGGAGCGGCCACTCCTCCCTGCTGGGGGCTCAGGGCTTCTGCCCAGCTTGTCCGTTAGCTGAGGAGGTGGCCGAGCGGGGCCCCTGGCTGGTCATCATGTGGGCCTTCCCGGAGTTGCCAATGCCGCTGCTGGTGAATTTGATCGGCTCGCTGCTGGGATTTGTGGCCACGGTCACCCTCATCCCCGCCTTCCGTGGCCACTTCATCGCCGCGCACCTCTGTGGCCAGGACCTCAACAAAACCGGCCGGCAGCAAATGTGAGCGGTGGCACCCGGGTCCCGGGCGGGAGGCAAGGGCAGAGGAAGGGGCCGGCAGGGCAAGGCGGGAACTGGGGTGCCTGACCCCGCGGAGAAGGAGTCCTAACTCCGCAGACAGCTCCGGGCTCTGGGAGATGAAGGGCAGCACTGGCTAACATTGGGAAGGGATGTTGTGGTTGAGGGGACCCTCAGGTGCATCGGGGACTCCAGCACTGGTGCCCTTCCCCACCCCCCTTTCCCCATTCGATGGCTGTAGTGCCTGCTCTAATGAGTGACCACGCCCCCTTTCCTCTCCCTCCGCCCCCTCCCTTTGCTGCTGGGCCACAGCCCAGAGTCCCAGGGAGTGATCAGCGGTGCTGTTTTCCTTATCATCCTCTTCTGCTTCATCCCTTTCCCTTTCCTGAACTGCTTTATGGAGGAGCGGTGTAAAGCCTTCCCGCACCATGAAGTAAGTGGGTGAGTGGGGGAGGTTGCTTGTGGCTGGGGTCTGGGAGCTACCTGAGAAAGTTGGGGTTGTTTGGGTGGAGGGGCTGAGGATCCAGGGAAAAGACAGGTATTTTTGAAAGGTGAAGTGGGCGTAGGCTTGAGCTGTGACCTGCCCGAGCCTCCCCCAGTTTGTGGCCCTGATAGGTGCGCTCCTTGCCATCTGCTGCATGATTTTCCTGGGCTTTGCGGACGATGTACTGAATCTGCGCTGGCGCCATAAGCTGCTGCTGCCTACAGCTGCCTCATTACCTCTTCTCATGGTCTATTTCACCAACTTTGGCAACACGACCATTGTGGTGCCCAAGCCTTTCCGGCCGATTCTTGGCCTCCATCTGGACTTGGGTGAGTAGCCCTGCCACCGCCGCCCCTGTGGCCCCTACTTCAGGGCACCCTTACCCTGGGAGATATCTAGCAGAGCATCATTCCTGGTGCTCCAGATTCTCCTCCAAGTGTCCCTGACTTGTCCCTGTGTCTTCTCAGATCCTTTCTGTTGGTCCTTCGTCTGATCCTCTGTCCCCACCACTTTTCTCAGCAGAATATCCTTAAGTCCTCATTTCAATGGTACACACTTTTTACCGTCTTCTTCCCCCAGGGATCCTGTACTATGTCTACATGGGGCTGCTGGCAGTGTTCTGTACCAATGCTATCAATATCCTAGCAGGAATTAATGGCCTAGAGGCTGGCCAGTCACTAGTCATTGCTGCTTCTATCATCGTCTTCAATCTGGTGGAGCTGGAAGGTAGGTGGGATTAGGAGGAGGGAGAGAAGAGAAGTCTGAGTGTTAAGGAAGTTGCCTGATACCTGGCTTTGGGGAGTTTGGGGGGAAAAAAAAGCGATATATTAAGATTTATTAAATGTAAGAAAGAAAAATAGCAGCCCTGTCATTTTTACCTGGATTGGCACTAATAGGTAGGCCATGGTCTTCTACGGAACGTAAAGAATTTCACAGAACTTCCAAGTCAGACAGGGTCACTCTTTGACCACCATAGTAAAACCAGCTCAGGTAGAACCGCATTTTGTGCATCCCTCAAAAATGACTAAGGTCTCCCTCTTCTGGCTAACGTGAGCAATTGCTGCTTCCTTCTGATAACTCAGTTCCTCCTACTTTTTAGACAAAGCTAAGATGCTCAGTCATAGAATTACTTTGACTGATTGCACCCAGTCTAGGGCAAAACTCCACCTCCTTGCTTTCTCCCCAAAATTACTTAAAACGAATCCTATAACACATCCTCCTAATACCCCCTTACTAAGGCATCCCATGGTTGCCTATAATGTGTGGTCTCCAGTGTCTCCCTTGTTACAAGTCAGTAAACCCAGCTTTGACTGCTTGTGTGTTTCTGGTGGTCTTTGGCTGATAAGCACTGATATCAGTGTTTATTAAAACTAACCACTTTAGTGAGCATTATCTCATTTGAACTTTGTAACGTGGCAGGGGTTCTCGTGAACCATATTTTGTAGTTGAGGAAACTGAGGGCTAGAGAATTTAAATGTGTCATGATTGAGGTCACACAGGAAGTAAATCTGGTATTCAAACCTAGGTCTGACTGATCTAAACCAAATTGAAGACAGTAACTCATTTAGGAAGGCTTCGTGAATGAGGTGGAATATTAGGAATTGCCTGGGTGACACAAAAAGTGTGGTGAGTTCTTGAATGTGACTTGGAAGAGGTGGAGAGTACAGCTTGGGACAGAACTTAGAGACAAAAATAGGACCCAGGTATGCAGGGGAAGCACCTATCAACTTTTCCTTCTTTTTCCCTTGCTTCCAAAGGTGATTATCGGGATGATCATGTCTTTTCCCTCTACTTCATGATACCCTTTTTTTTCACCACCTTGGGATTGCTCTACCATAACTGGTAAGTGGGCCTGTGGCTAGGGGGATAACTATGTGATCATAGAATGAGTATGGTCCTGGTCATGACCCAACTCCTGGAGAGGCTAAACCTACGCACACCTATGTTGAGTGTTTTCTGGGTCTCTAGTTGGTAATATTCTTCAGTTGCTTTCAGCCCAGTCGCAGTTAGGGACAAGTGCTGTGGAGCCCCCAGGAAGAGATGAATGCAGGGCCTTGGGTCCTGGACAGTTGCTGGAAGAGCCAGAGTCTCCTCTGGGCCAGAACTAGAGTCAGGGCTAGCCCAGGGCCCAGGAAGTGTAATGTGAGAGAAAAGATGGATAGTGCCTCCTGCCACTGGCTCAGATCCTCTCCCCTACACAGGTACCCGTCACGGGTGTTTGTGGGAGATACCTTCTGTTACTTTGCTGGCATGACCTTTGCCGTGGTGGGCATCTTGGGACACTTCAGCAAGACCATGCTACTCTTCTTCATGCCCCAGGTGTTCAACTTCCTCTACTCACTGCCTCAGCTCCTGCATATCATACCCTGCCCTCGCCACCGTATTCCCAGGTAGCCACTTTTGGGGCTTGAAAGGGACATCGTAGCTTTTTCACTTGGGATGCGTAAAGCCAGCCTTATACATCTGCTGTGCAAAGGGAGTGGGCCCAAAGAAGGGCTCTTTCCACATGGTTAGCCCTTAGAAATTACAGAGCACATTCACCTACATAATCTAATCAGCTCTGATCACACAGTAGTAAGCAGAGCCAGAAATAGATCTTAGGTTGTTTGATGCCATGTTCAGTGCTCTTTCTATTAATTGACCGCAGTGAGGAGAGTTCTTGGAGTAGTGGCCCCGTCACATAAAGCTCTCTTCCCCCTGCAGACTCAATACCAAGACAGGCAAACTGGAGATGAGCTATTCCAAGTTCAAGACCAAGAACCTCTCTTTGTTGGGCACCTTTATTCTAAAGGTAACAGGGTAACAAGGAGGTAAGGCTCTAGGCCGTCATCGGGAATTCAGGGACCGGGGATCCTGGGCCTGCATCAGATCCAAGGGGAGTTGGAAGCACGAAGCAGATCCCCACTGCTGAAGCAGAGTTGAAGTTCTCTCCACCTCCGGCCCCTCCAGGTAGCAGACAGTCTCCAGCTAGTGACGGTGCGCCAGAGCGAGCATGAGGATGGTGCCTTCACGGAGTGTAACAACATGACCCTCATCAACTTGCTCCTTAAGGTCGTCGGGCCCATGCATGAGAGAAACCTGACTCTGCTCCTGCTACTGCTCCAGGTGTGGTCGGGGAAGGGCTCCACATACAGCTCCCTGTCTGCCTTTCTCCATGATTCTGACTCTAGTGTGTTTCTCCTCACAGATCCTTGGCAGTGCAGTCACCTTCTCCATTCGGTACCAGCTTGTCCGGCTCTTCTACGATGTCTGAGTCCCCCGGTCCTTGCCCTTTACTGCACAGTCTGCAGGCTTCCTGACTCAGGCCGACCTCTTTCCTGACCAGGAATGCCTCCTGGCCCAGGCCTCTCCCACCTCTTATTCTCCCCCAGATTTTGTACTTAGTGATTCCATTCCGCTGTGATTATCGACACCCTGGGCCTGTCTTGCCCTCTACTGACTGTTGATTGGACTTTGCCACTTCAACTTGCCACTCTCCCTCTCCGTCCCATCTCGTCTTTGCAGCCTCCTGGGGTGGGATACTGCCACTTTTATGCAGTTATCCACGACTCGGACTCTCGAGGAATATGTTGGGCCTGGGGATAGAGCCCTTGCTGGGGATAGGGACACAGGCTCGAAAATCACTTGATATTTGACTATAAATTAAGTATTCTGATTAGTAAGAGCAGACTGGGGGGCCAGGTGCTCCCAGTGGTGACAATAAAGTGTTGTCTTTTTCTTATTGTTGTTCCTGTAGGTATATCTCCTATATGGGCATCTTAGAGTAGATTTGGGAGGGTTGGTGGAGGCACCTCCTCCAAGAGGTCCTTTTTTCTTTCAGTACAGCAGGCTCCTTGTAGCAAGAAGGGAACAGAAGGAACTGCGACCAGACAGAACATGTTGAATAAATACTGAAATCCTCATACTTCGGTGGCAGGGAGGGCCATAAGATTGGAGTTACCTTTGTCTGGTGTGGGACAGAATTGGGGGGGGGGGACAGGGGGAGGGGATCCCATTTCTTCCCCTTTTCACTTTCCCTTTGCAGGATGGGAGGAGGGAGAAAGGCGAAGAGAGGGACCAGACCTGGAAGGGGAGGCAGTGGCGTTGACCCCTTTCCTTTAAAATTCCTAGGCCCTCACAGATTTCCCAGAGGCTCCAGAGGTGGCTCAGACCCCACCCTCTTTGTCTTCCGGTTCTGGTCTCCAGCTGTAGCATTTAAATCTGGCGCCCTTCACCTGGATTGGCTACCTCAGGGAGTGGTGGGCTGGCTGCGTGCTACCGCTCCTCCTCGCCTTTTTCCCCGGGCAAAAGGTTTTCAAATCGGACCAATCGGCGGGCGCGCTCCCTCAGCCGTGGCGCGTCACGGAAGGGTTAACTGCAACCAACCGGAGGCGGGTATTCGAGAAGAGAGCCAATCAGGAGGGCGCGGAGGTGTGCCCTGGGGGCTTATAAGGGCGGCCCCTGGGCGCGCGCGGCAGCAGTTGGACTGCGGCGGGCAGCTCTCCGTTGGCCCCCTTCGAGGCGTCCCTCTTCACCGCTCTGCTACCTCGCGCAGCATGTCGGGCCGCGGCAAGACCGGCGGCAAGGCCCGCGCCAAGGCCAAGTCACGCTCGTCGCGCGCCGGCCTCCAGTTCCCAGTGGGCCGCGTGCACCGGCTGCTGCGGAAGGGCCACTACGCCGAGCGGGTCGGCGCCGGCGCGCCCGTGTACCTGGCGGCGGTGCTCGAGTACCTCACCGCGGAGATCCTGGAGCTGGCGGGCAACGCGGCCCGCGACAACAAGAAGACGCGGATCATCCCCCGCCACCTGCAGCTGGCCATCCGCAACGACGAGGAGCTCAACAAGCTGCTGGGCGGCGTGACGATCGCCCAGGGAGGCGTCCTGCCCAACATCCAGGCCGTGCTGCTGCCCAAGAAGACCAGCGCCACCGTGGGGCCGAAGGCGCCCGCGGGCGGCAAGAAGGCCACCCAGGCCTCTCAGGAGTACTGAGGGGCGCCCGCGCCGCAGCCGGCCCACCATGCCACCACAAAGGCCCTTTTAAGGGCCACCACCGCCCTCACGGAAAGAGCTGAGCCACGTCGGGCTCGGGGCGGGCGGCCGCGGCGCTCGGCTCCCCCCTCCCGCGTCGCCGCCGCCGCCGCCCCTCCCCCGCGCGGGCTCGCCGGCCCTCGCTCCCGCTCCCGCTGCCGCCCGGCCGGGGGGCGGCCCCGCTCGCCTGGCGCAGAGGCCCGGGCGCCACGGCGCCCGTGACTCAGCCGCCCGGGCCCCGGAGCCGCCGATGGGCGGCGAGGAGGCCGCGGCGCCTCCTGGAAGAGCCGCTCGCCGCTCTGACGCAGGGCTGAGGTGCGCGCCGGGGCCGGGGCTCCGGCTTGGTGCTCGGGCCGAGACTCTCCAGACGCGGTGCGGGAAGAACCGATCACTGTTCGCCCTGGCGCCGCCGCCCCCCCCTTCCCCCCGGGTCCCGCCGTCTGCACCCGCGGGCCGGCCGCTTCTGCGGGGACCGCCGCCCCGGCCGCGGCGGGGGAGGGGCGGGGGCCCGGGTTTGCGGGCCGTGGGGACCGCAGGAGGTGTGCGCGCGCGCCCGGGTGACCGCAGCCGGGCCCGAGGGCCCCGCCGCTCGCCCCACTTCCCTTCGGGCGACTCCTCCGCGGGCCACGCACCTCCCTCCGTACCAGCACCGGCCCGATCGTCCCTGTCTGCACTGAGCCTCCGATTGCTTCGGAACTGGAATTTTGCAGCTACAACCCATCCAAGACTAGTACCTTACGTATTGGGGAGTTTCAGATGGACTAATTTTATTAAACGATTGTTTTTTTAAAAAAACGCAGTGTCTGTAGTCATTCTGTAACAGTTGTAGCACTGACTTTGTAGACTTCTATCCTGAGGGGGGGGTGGGGGGGGACTCTGATACATGGCCCACCTATCGAATATCCATACGGGTTAGCTGGAGAGGGGCAAGTCCTAGGTTTCTCCGATCACCGCTCTTTCCTGGGAGACCGTTTGAAATGAGAACTGATGTGGCAGGAACAAAGAACATTCCAGGAGAACTTTGCACAGAGGTCCCGGCCTCTGAAGTAAAGAGTACAGGCTTTGTGTCTGTCCTTATCTTTCCTGCAACCTCACCAAAAACAAAGTCACCTTCAGAGCTGGTTTATTAGTTGAGGTGGTTACATTCAAAGGCCGTGGCTTGAACTTTTTCTCTAAAGAGATGAAACCCCCACCTACCGCAGAGGCAAGGCACTCCCCACAGCCCCAAAGTGAGGTAAGTCTCTGCCCTTGCAGTTCAATCCCTGGGGGAATCACTCACCAGGTAGCAGTGAGGATGGGGCACTGAGGGCTGGGAGGTAGGCACTGGACAATTGGACCCAGGCACCTGCGCCCCACAGACCAGTTAGTGGGCATCGTTAAGCTGCCGGGCAACATCCAGTATGTTCTTGGCTCCTTTGTTCAGCAACAAACTGGCCAAGCTGATGCCCAGGTTCTCAGCAGCCAGCTGGGCTTCTCGTGGAATACTCCGCGCAGTGATCCCCACCAGCTGTGGATCATCCTCGGGACCATCTTCATGCTAGGTGAGGGAAGGAGGTGGGATCTGGTGAGCACGAAAAAGGAGGTAAAAGGCAGGTTCGTTTCTCACCCTCTCCCTCACTCTCCAGCTTTGGCACCTGGGCAGTGACACGGATGGTGGCCTGCATGGTCTCTTGCATGCTATCTGAGCCGTCTAGACTCCAGACTCCTCCAGTCAGGTACAGCTGGCAAAGGAAACGGGTTACCTCAGCATATTCTGAGAGAACTGCTTAGTAACCGGGCTCTTTTTGCGGGCAACTCTCAGCATATTCTGAGAGAACTGCTTAGTAACCGGGCTCTTTTTGCGGGCAACTCGAGAGGCACAGGAACACGTCACGGTGCTCCCTTACCTGCCTTCCCACCCACCCTCCCCTGCTTACTTGCCCATCCTTCATAGCTGTATGGACTGCCACGGGCACACTGCAGCCTCCTTCCTGCAATGAGAAGTTCTCCCTGTGAACCAGGGACTCACCACCACCGTGTGGCCAGAGCCCGCAGAGATAGACACCCCTGAAGACATAACGGAAACAGAGGCAGGGGCCCAGACCTGGGTCCTGTCCATACATTCAAGAATGAGTTACCTCTAAATAAGAGCATTAATATGAGAAATCTCCCGTCGACTATTCCCAACTCCTCAAGTCCCCACCCCTCCACAGGTGGAACATGGATCCTACCAGGTGCCTCAGGAAGGCTCGCTCAGCAATGCAGCGAAGCAGAGTCTCCGGATCATGCAACACCCCCACCAGATCCAGCATGTCCTGGTCACTGGCTCGGACTTCCACACCCAGGGCCCCCTGATGGAAAAAAAGCCTAAGACATCAGGTCTAATCTTTCCCCAACCAATGGAGGTAAGGACGGGAACCAGCCCACCTCCACCTGCTCCCCAGGATCCCTTTTAGCCCAGAAGCCTCCCAAGGCCTGCCCCTCCTTAGAAATGTTTATGCCGGGAGAAGGAGATGCAGAAGGTTATGAGACCGGCTTTTTGGTTGAGAACAAAAGAAAGGGCTTCCCTGGTCAAACATACCTGACCCACAGCATACATGCATTCCTCTGGGTGTAGGATCTGCAGGGGCAGAACAGACAGTCAGAAGGGTGAAGATGGGGGTGCCTGAAAGCAGACAGTAGTGAGAGGGGGCTTCCCTATCACACAGAAAGCCTAGTGGGAGTCTGGCCTTTGACCCCCCATCTTCTCAGCCTGGGGCCCATGTCCAGCCTATACCGTTAGAAGCAGGATGTTCAGAAAGAGAATACAGGCAGGAAAAGGAGGAAGGTTAACGGGACGGATCAGGGACAGCCCCTACCTGCCCCACCCGGTGCTGCCAACCCATGCGCTGCAGGCCAGCGGCGGCCAGGATGATGGCACTGAACTCCTGCAGTTCATCCAGCTTCCGCAGCCGCGTGTTGAGGTTTCCCCGCTGTGCAGGGATGCTAAGGACCACAAGCACTGGGCAGTCTGGAACCTCACACTGCTCCCCCTGCCTAAGCCTTTCTGTATCTAACAGCTCCCCTCTGGTCTTCTGCTTACCGAGTACAGCTAACATTAACTTAATTACTCACACTTGATGGCTACACACCAGACACTGATTGAAAGTGCTTTACAGGGACGCCCGGGTGGCTCAGTCGGCTAAGCGTCTGCCCTCGGCTCAGGTCATGATCCCAGGGCCCTGGGATGGAGCCCTGTGACAGGATCCCTGCTCGGTGGGAAGCCTGCTTCTCCCCCTGCTGTGCTTTTTCTTTCTTTCTCTCTCTCTGGCAAATAAATAAAATCCTTAAAAATATAAAATAAAATAAAGTGCTTTACATACTCCTATTTAATTTTCACAACCCAGTGAGGTAGGTCTAATTATTTCCATTTTACAGATGAGGAAAATGGTAGAGAAGTTAACTAACTTGCCCAAGGTTACAAGACCTCTGAGAAGCATTCCCTGACCCCCAAGTCTGTGCTTATAGATGTTCCAGCTAGAAGCTTCCAGAGAATTCCCTACTTTGTGCATGGGAGTGCTTAACACATACTATTTTGAAAATTAGCTTTATAAAACATTGGATATGTTTCGAATATCAAAATATAATAGAACATGAAATAAAAATGGAAGCACCCTCCACCTTTCCCCCTTCCCAAGTAATCACTGTTTAGTATTACTCTGTATTATCAATGCTCATTTGTCTCCAGAACAAAAATGTAAAACTCTATAAGCAAGGACAACGTTGGTCTTGCTCACCATTATCCCTAGTGCCAGGCACTGGCCTGGGGCTAAGAAAATATGAAAGGATTATGAATGGATGGATGGATGGGTGGATGGATGAATAGGGCAGACACTGGAGAGACATTCCGTTGGCCCGTGTCCACTTCCTCTGGAAGCTCCTTTCGCTCTCATGACTCCCTGGACCCTCTGGACCCCACCTTCCTCCTTGGCTACTGCCCCCTCCCTCCTCGGAAAGGATACAATGCTCTTGAACTCCAGGTGTGGGAACTTTCTCTGCAGCTGGGCCGCTCTCCGCAGGGAGCTGGTTCCCACCACACTGCTCAGAGAGAGGGTTTAAAGTGAGATTTAACCCAAGATTTCCTCCTCTTCCTCCCAGCCCTCCACCTTCTGTGCATGTCCCACCAGGATGCCTATCCAGGCCCCACTCACCTCTTCTCTGGCAAGGTTTCTAAGGTTTTCCCAACAAATTTTGGGTGAAAGACAACAGCATCATAGGGGTTCTCCCGCCTGGAGACAGAGGGAAAGTCAAAGAATGAGGAAGAGATCTCAGTGCAGGTCACTTCCAGGCTCTCTCCATAACCAACTAACTGGCATGTTCTCGGTTCCCTAGAGGCAGAGGGCAGAGTCCCAGAGGGAAAAGCAGAGGTTAACAGGATGCCTCCACCTGCCCATGCCGGACTTGCACGGTTCTTACTTGCAGACAGCTCCAATGGTGAAGCCAGGGGGAAGCACGGTGGGCAGGTCCTTCAGGGAGTGAACAACCAGGTCCACTCTAGAGAGACGGAAGAGGGAGGCAAGGAGAAGGAATCCCAGCAGCAGGCCCCCACCCCTCCTCCACCTATGCCCGCCTGTACGTCAGTGGTCTGCTAGGAAGCGGGCCTGCCAGGACCTCAGGACCCTGAGCCCTGCACCCTCCCTTCTGTCCCCCTCCCCCAGCCAATCCGGCCTTCCAGGCAGCCAGATGGCTCAGAACCAGGACACTCTCCTTTTCTGAGGCCTGAGAAACCCACATATGAGCCTCCCTCTAGCCTACCCAAAGGATGAAGCCCCATGGTCTAGCTGATAACCAGGTCTGATGTGCACAGGGGTCCTAGCAAGAGATGAGTAAGAACTGTGTTTCACTTACTCATTCTTCTCCAGTGCATGTTCCAGCTCCTTGGTAAACAGGCTCTTCTCTCCAATCTGCCAGTCAAGAAAGAGCCTCAAAGGGGCGCCTGGGTGGCTCAGTCGGTTAAGCGGCTGCCTTCAGCTCGGGTAATGATCCCAGGGTCCTGGGATCGAGCCCCATGTTGGGCTCTCTGCTCAGGGAGGAAGTCTGCTTCTCCCTCTCCCTCTGCCATTCCCACCCACTGTGCTCCCTCCCTCCCCCCACTTCAAATAAATAAATAAAATCTTTAAAAATAAAAAATAAGGGGCGCTTGGGTGGCTCACTTGGTTAAGTGTCTGCCTTCCGCTCAGGTCATGATCCCCGGGTCCTGGGATTGAGCCCTGCATCGGGCTCCGTGCTGAGCGGGGAGCCTGCTTCTCCCTCTGCCTCTGCCTTTCCCTTGTGTGCTCTCTCTCTCTCAAATAAATAAAATCTTGGGGCGCCTGGGTGGGTCAGTCATTAAGCGTCTGCCTTCAGCTCAGGTCATGGTCCCAGGGTCCTGGGATCGAGCCCCGCATCAGGCTCTCTGCTCCGCGGGAGGCCTGCTTCTCCCTCTCCCACTCCCCCCTGCTTGTGTTCCCTCTCTCGCTGTGTCTCTCTGTGTCAAATAAATAAAATCTTAAAAAAATAATAAATAAATAAATAAAATCTTTAAAAATAATAATAGAAAAATAAAAAGAAAAAAGAAAGAGCGCCACAGTGAATCTCCTGGGGGGAGCAAAGAGGAGGGAGGGAAAAGGATTCGGGGGGAATATGTTACCTTAGAGAGCGCAGTATCAAGAATCTTGTCCCCTGTGGTGGACATAGCAACTGAGGAGAGAACCAACCAGGTGCTCACTGATCAGCACTTCCTGAGCCCCTCCTGAGCCCAGCACTGTGCTAAGACTCCTAGTGGATACAGAGGCACATACACCCCAATCCCTGCCCTCTGGGAATGTAATGAGCTGGCAGGAAGACTAGACACACTGATAAAAAGACCCAAAGCAGAAGATGTTAAGTGCCAAGCTGGCCCAGCGAGTCAAGAGCTGGAAGTATTCAGAGGAAGAAATGGCCCTCCAAACTGGGGACAGCCAAGAATTCTCAGAGGCGGGGCGCCTGCATGGTTGGTTAAGCGTCTGCCTTCAGCTCAGGTCATGATCCTGGGGTCATGATCCCCTGCTCTGCGGGTGGGCCTGCTTCTCCCTCTCCCTCTGCCTGCCGCTCCCCCTGCTTGCACGCTCTCTCTCTCATGTCAAATAAATAAATACAATCTTTAAAAAAAAAAAATATTGGGGCGCCTGGGTGGCTCAGTTGGTTAAGCGACTGCCTTCGGCTCAGGTCACGATCCTGGAGTGCCGGGATCGAGTCCCGCATCAGGCTCCCTGCTCAGCGGGGAGTCTGCTTCTCTCTCTGACCCTCCTCCCTCTCATGCTCTCTGTCTTTCATTCTCTCTCTCTCAAATAAATAAATAAAATCTTTAAAAAAAAAAAATATTGGAGGCAATGGGATGAAGCTTTGAGCCTAGGGAAAGCCAGAAATGCTGTGTTTGCGCCCCGCCCCGCCCCCCCCCCCACACCAGGTGGGGAAGAGCTTCTTCCCATTAGCTTCCCGTCCTGTCCACAAAACTCACCAATTTCGAATTGCAGACTTGGGTAGAAGGCTTTCAGCATTGCCACCACACTGTCTGTCTGTATGCGAGCCAGCTGGGGACAAACATTCCGATTAGTCCTATCCTCCCCGGGCACTGCCCTGAGCTCACACCCTCACAGGGTTAGGGACATACTGAAGGAACTGGAACTTGAATGCCCACCTAGGAAGGAGAGGGATCTGGTCCGGGAGCTCTCTGCACCCCAACAGCTTGCTCAGACTCTCTCCACAGAATGCAACATGCCATTCTTCATGGGATTTAACACCCAGCCACCCCATTTATCTTCCATTTCCCAGGTCCTGGGAACTAACCCTCTGGGCCCCCCAACTTGTGATACCGTGAGCACAGAACTCTTCCCACAAACTTCCTCTGCCCAGTAACTGTACTCACCTGGCTCTTTCGGGTACCCACACGAATCACTCTCATCTTTGGGCCGTTTTCTTCCTGCAGAAAAAAATCCCCAAGTCACAGTCCCCTCTGTTCCTCGTGTTCCTCAACACCTAGTCCAAGAACCAGAATCAGTGGCTTGGAAGAAAAGAACCTCAGCCCCTGGCCTGCGGCCTGCGGCCTGCTGAGCCTTGATGTGGGGAAATCCTCCAGGACTGGTCCCTTTACCTTCCTCAATACCTTCTGCCCTCCTCACAGATTCAGAGAAACAGAGACCTGAGGGAAGCGCTAGCAGGACCCGCCGTTGCTCTTGCTTTAATAACTGGACACTGCGCCCGGAGGCCCATCCTGGCTAAGGCTGGGGGAGTGCTGCACAGAGCCGAGTGTGTAAAGAGATAAGGCCCATCAGCCTGGCTACAGGGAGGGTGGGTCCCCCAGCAGACAGGGGCAGGGCAGCTGGGGCCACAAGAGAACGTGCGCTGAGTCACCGAGGACAAGTTCAGTATCCACAATACGGCAGGCACTGGTGTGCTGTCACCTGGATGCCAACGCAACCCCACAGCTGCCACAGCAGGGATCCCCTAACCCGGCGGGAATGCACATATAAAGGACTGCGGTCAACAGATCCTACGGAGAGTCCTGCTCAGCCTCTTGGCAGGCTGACCTTTAGCACAGCCTCTCATCATGATCTGTTCATCTATAAAATGAAGAGGTTGCGACTCCAGTATTTTCTGCCTCAGATGTTCTACGAGACTTAAAAGGCTAAGCTGCCTAACGTCCATTCCCCTAGAGTGCCGCCTCTGGTCTCACCAACCAGAAATAGCGGAACGTCGTTGACCAAGCTAGGAACTCAAAGGCACAAACCTCTTCCTCCTAGCCAGGGCACGCTGGACAAAAGTGTTCAGTGCCACGCAGGGAGAACTGCGTTCCTCAGTCTGAGGTCCTATCTCTTTCTAGATCAGTAGCCACTGTACATAATGTCACCTTTCCCTATTCTGAGATCTTCATCCCATGGAGTTGTTTCGCAGGCAAGTCTCTGGGTCCTCTGTTGTTGGGTGGATGTGACAGCTGGCTGCTCCTGGACCCTAGTCTACTGCACTGCTATCAGTTCTCCCATAAATAAACCCTAGGGACCCTGAGCAAATTAGGCCAGGCCTAAAATGCTAAACATGGCCACTAAAATTCTGAGCCACTGGGAGCCCACAGAAAGGAATCTAAGGTCCTAGAAACTGCTAGGTTCACACAATCCCTTAATTGCATCGATTCTGCACAGCCTATTTTATTCCATTAAAAAAATATTTATTGAACATGTACATGCTGGAACTATTGCTTTTAATCTTCATGAAAACCCTATCAGGTAGACAGGGCAGGTATCTCTGGAACCATGTTACAGAAGCAACTGAGAAGTGAAATGACTTGCCCAGAGTCACACAGCTAATAATGGGAAAAGAGCTGGAGCCAGAATCCAGATTTTCCTACTCCTAGTCCAGTGCTCAAGAGTGTCTGTAATGGCAAAAAATCCCTCTCCTCGCCAGCAGGCTGGACGTCGGGAGATAAGCAGCTGCCCCATCTCTTTCTTATCTCGCGCTGGCAGAGGCCCCCACTGGCTGTAGTTTGCATCTACACAAGCCCAGAGCTCGGGCGGCGAGCTAGGGACAAGACTCAAGGGTGACGCCCCACCCACCATAGTAATCCAAAGGCGTGTGTCTCAGTTGGGGACCTTGACAGTAGGCTGGGGCTGGGTGACGGCTAAAAGGGAAAAAGCAAAGGTGTGTCTCAGTTGGGGACCTTGAGAGTAGGCTGGGGCTGGGTGACCGCTAAAAGGGAAAAAAGGGAGAAGACGCACTTTCAAGATGTTTGTGTGCAGTTGGAGGATTTGGGATCCAAAGTGGGACATATTCCCAAGGTGGCCGAATCCCGCCTCGGCCCTGTCTCGTGTGAAAGGATCCCGGGAATAGCGCCTTGTCTGGTGGAGACGAACTTTCCTGGGCTGGGTCATTAAATCTAGGGCCGTGGATGCCAGGCACGGCGGAACCCCACCCAGATCCCCGCAGGGATGGGGGTTTCGTTCCAGACAATCCCTCCACTCTTAACCCCGCCCCCACCGCTCACTCAGTTCCCCTGTCCTTCCTAAGGGCAACCAGCTACTGGCCCTTTAAAAACTGTTTTGACCAAAAAAAAAAAAAAAAGACGGATAGTCGCTCCGACCAATAGACGACGGAGGGTGGCAACCTGGAGCCAATCGTTGCGCCGCCAGTCCGGAACGCCGAAGTTACGAGAGTCCCCGGCTCAGTACTCACCGCCGTTGCGGCCCCGTTGCCGTTGCCAGACATGGCTGTGCTCGGGAGGTAGGTCAGGGGGCTGCCGCCGAGGTCCCCCCGGAAGCCGGGGGAGCCGGAGGGCCCGGCCAGCGGGTGCACGCGGGTCCGCGCTCCTCCTGCTGCCGCAGACTCAGCGCTCTGCGTCACTTCCGGCACCCGCCCTCGGGGAGGACCACCCTCGGGGCGGGAATTGGAACGTTGAGACCGAGACGACCTTACCCTTCTGTTACCGCCCCTACTCTGCCGGGCCGGTGGGGACGCTGGGTTCCCGTCCGCCCCAGTCCTCCTGGCTTGAGACCCGGGCCTTACTGTTCTTTTTTTTTTTTACATACACCTCGTTTTGAATCAAGAATAATGATGGTCAATGACTAAGATTTGCTCCCCAGATTCACCCACAGAGCAAATTCTGCAGTCCCCCGACCACCACCCAAAGGGATAGTCAAGCCAAAGTTAGCCCTGCCCAAGAGGAAGAGTATTAACCCTAAAATGCTGCGTTGGAAGTAAAGCGTCCTTGAGCCACGTCCACTTTCCTTTGGCTGGATTCGACACCTCCACATAGGATGCTCCAGAAAGTTGGCAACCCAGAATTCTACAGCTTTATCCCCTTAGCTGTGGCACAAGCAATTACTGCAACTTATGTGGAGCTTCCCTGGCTCCGTTAAAACTTAGCTCTGCTACAACCCTGGAGTAGGCAACATTCCTTTTTAATTGAGGAAACTGGTTCAGAGATCAAAGGTCATGCCTAAAGACAAATAACTGAAGTGCGAATGCCAACACATCATTATGTTAGTGGGAACAAGTGTGTTAGGAAAAGTGCTTTATCCACTAACGGTATTAATAACCATGTATTGAGCACCCACGTGCTAACCACTATCAAAAGAACTAGACACCCGGGGCACCTGGGTGGCTCAGTCGTTAAGCATCTGCCTTCGGCTCAGGTCATGATCCCAGGGTCCTGGGATTGAGCCCCGAATCAGGCTCCCTGCTCGGCGGGAAGCTGCTTCTCCCTCTCCCGCTCCCCCTGCTTGTGTTCCCTCTCTCGCTGTGTCTCTGTCAAATAAATAAATAAAATCTTAAAAAAAAAAAAAAAGAACTAGACACCCGTTTGCTCCTTCAGCCTTTGTAACAGCTGTACAAGGAAGGTGTTCTCATTCCTGACGTACAGATGAAGAAACAGGCTCAGAGGAGGTTAAGAGATGCCCCAAACTAGGATTCAAACTTGGGTCAGCTGACCCAAAGTCTGTATTTTTAGCCACGATAAATATAGTCTACTCTCTCTCCTAAATACTACCTAAAGCACAATGTCCAAGTTACTTTCTTGGGCTAAGCAACCCCACAGGAGCAATTTTCCTTTTTAAAATTTTTTTAGGTAGGCTCCATGCTGGGCTTGGGAGCACAATGCAGGGTTTGAACTCATAACCCTGAGATCAAGATCTGAGCTGAAACCAAGAGTCGGATGCTTAACCAACTGAGCCACTCAGGTGCCCCAGAGCAATTTTCTGACAGGCAGTGTAACCCAAATAATAGGCAGACACCTAGCAACACAAACTTCAGCTTGCAACTTTGAAGAAGAGGTAAAAAAAAAAAAATGTTTTAGTAAAGGTCCCTTTATCCTGTTTATCATCTGGTACTAAATCCAGCAAGACACCAATCTACCATCATGAAGGCAGGCCTAAACCCCAGGATCCCCACCAGAATCTGCCTTCTGCTTGAATACATTGTGCAAACAAGAGCCATAGAGACCAGCCAGATTGCAGAGCAGGTGCTGTTTTGGGGGCCTTGATCCAGGCTGCTCTTGGAGCAGAAAGGTACCAAGGTTCTTCAGTAAAGCAAAATCTACTAGGTGCCCACAGGCCCCATCCATTACTGGAATGAGGTCCTGTCAACATGGTCTTCAAGGAACTGTGTAGGAAAGGAAGTGGAGTTCTTCCAGGGCAGAGGAAAAGTACATTTTGCACAGCTAAGAATCACCATGAAGTCCCCAGAATAAACCCTTCAACTGCCAAACTATTATATTCTTTTATTTATAGACTCTGGGAGCAAGGACCCAAGCACAGCCTGGTGCTCTTGGATAGAGAATAAAGCAGCTATTGTTCATACTCAGAGGTTGCTGAGGTGCCCTCCCCCGCTGGTCTGGAATGATCCACACTGCTCAAAAAGTCAACAGGAGGAATGGCGGCCTGGCCAAAGGAGGAAGGAGAAAAAGAAAGTCCCCTTTACGCCTGAGGGCTATGGCATCAGATCAGGGTGGAGTCCTAGGCACGTCTGCTCTGCCTGCGTCCCCAGGGTCTCCACTGCCGCACCGCCACTCACACCCCTCCCCCCAAGCTGCTTAAGTGCCCCTCCTGGAGTGCATGAGCAGGTCCCGCTGCAGCCCGGCCTCCAGGCTTGCAGTCAGCCGGGCCGCAGGAGGGTCGGTCAGCAGAGTTAATTTGTTGAAAACACCTCGGCCAAAGTAGTCCGCAATCACAGAGAAGCTATCGCTGGAGCACTTGAGCTGCAGGGAAAGAGGAGAGAAGAATCAGAACTGCAGGCCTCCTGTCCTCAGTGAGGAGGGAAGAAAACCAGCTAATGGTCCCGTGAAGCTCGGTGCGTGGGACAGTTACCCACGCGCTCACGCCCACCTGGTGCTGGAACTGATCGTGCAGATCGTGTTTCTGTTCCTGGGCCCGGATCATATCCATGACCTTCCGGTTTTCAGGGAGGCAGGTGGGGCAGTCGGCATCACTTTCTGAGTAACTCTCAAAGCAGTGTTGGTGGAAGGAGTGGCCGCAGAGGAAGTGGACTGAGGGCAACTCCAAGGCACTGTTACAGATGCTGCACTTGGTCTTCTGGAAGATCTTCGGACTGCAGGCAAGGGAGACCAGAAAGGAGGGGCAAAGAGTGTGGGCAGAGCCGAGAGCAGGGTGCAGAGAGAAGGCGGCTGGAGTTGAGGAGGAGAGAGAGGTCCCTGGAAGGGACTGCAAGGCCCTGCCCTTGTCACCAACAGGGAGTCAAAAGAGGACACCCGCCTTGGGCCTGCAGTGAGTCTCAGCGCACACTCCCTGCAAGGCCAACTAATGCTTCCAGTTTTCACAACTACCACTAAATTGTCCTTCATATCTTTTTTTTTTTTACTTGAAGTATAGCTGATGTAGGTCATGTTAGTTTCAGTTGTACAACACCTGACTGACGAGTCCGTGTTCTGCTGTGCCCACCACGAGTGTGGCTACCGCCTGTCGTCACACAGTGCTGTTACCAACCACTGACCCTGCTCCCTGTGCTGTGCCTTCCACCCCCGAGACTCAGTCGTTCCAGAACTGGGAGCTTATACTGGTCTTTCAGGTCTTTACTCAGATGTGACCCTTCCAGTGAGGCCTTTCCTGGCCACCTTATACACGAGAACATACACACGCTCTGCACCCTACTCCCCTTCCTGAACTCATTTTCTCCTTAGACCCTATCACCATCTAACATAATATTTTGCTTATTCAATGTGTTTCTATCTCTACGTCATAAGCTCCATACAGCAGGGCTTTTTGTCTGTGTTGTTAAGAACAGTGCTTGAGACATAAAAGGGGCTCAGTAAGTATTTGCGGCATGAAGAAACTGTTCTTCTCTAATAAATATTTTATATAGTTAAGGGCAGATTAAAACTTAAAAGTAGATTAATATATAGTATAAATACTTCTAAATTATCCACTTTCTGTTCTAAAGCAAAGTTTTTTTACTTCTGAATGGCTTCCAACCACAACTTAGATGTGTGTTTAGGAAAAGTAAAACATAGATTCCTACAGAAAGAAAAGTACCTGCCACAAGATAACATTCTCCAAAGCCCAATAAACCATGATCTACGGAATATACCGTTCTCTGATCTTTAAGAAGGAAATGTGTGAACATGCTCCATCTAACCCTCTACGAAAAGTATTTAGTGACAGCCGGTGAAGAACAAGGTCATCCCCTGGACCTCTGTACGTATCCAGTTGCCACGTACCTCGCCTTGAGCTCCTGGATCTCCTGGCGGATGCGGGTGGTCTCCTCTCGGTACCGCCGCACCCGGAGCTCGTCCTGTGCGATCTGCTGGCTCTGTTTCTGCAGTTTTTGGACCAGGTAATCCCGGATGACAGACAGGGTGGCTGTGGAGTTGTGGGCCAGCGTCTGCACCACTGATTGGGCCGAGAAGGAAACGAGACAATGAAGCAGGGGGCATCCCCTGGATGGAATGGCAGAGCCCCTGCCCCCAAGGGGTCGGCCGCCCGCTACCGCGGCCTCTCAAGTACCTAGTAGGGGTGGCATGAGGTTCTTGTTCTCAATGTGCTTGAGCACAGCTGCCACGTACTCCTTGCAGTCCTCCTCCTTCCGGGCGAAGTAGCTGAGCGCCTGCTCCCACAGGCAGGGCTCCTGCTCCCCGTGGCGCTCGCACACGGCCACCACCTGCCGGTACTGCTCGTGCTGCACGTGGTAGTGCATGATCTGCTGGAACCTGGGGCCGGGCCGCGGCACAGCTCAGCGGCCACCCCCGGAAATCCGCATCCTTCCCCCTTCCCGGAAGACCCCCCCCCCATCTTACAGCTTCCCCTGTTCGTAGAGGTAAAGGACCCCATCCTGGAAGTCATGCATCTGGCAGAGGACCAGGGCCTTGTCAAAGACGTCGCAAAAGCGGCCGCTCTTCAGCAGGGAGATAGCCTCTGCGTGGAGCTTCTCTTTGACCTAGGGAAGGAGGAAAGAGCTGCTGGCCAGAAGAGCAAAATCACAGGGTCTCCGGGACAAGGCACATCAACTGCCT